TCGACAGCACTGGGCAAGGCAAGATGTCGTCCTGCGTGCTCTGCGCAAAGTTACCATCAGTAGTGTAATCGACAGCACTGGGCAAGGCAAGATGTCTTCCTGCGTGCTCTGCGCAAAGTTACCATCAGTAGTGCAATCGACAGCACTGGGCAAGGCAACATGTCTTCCCGCGTGCTCTGCGCAAAGTTACCATCAGTAGTGTAATCGACAGCACTGGGCAAGGCAAGATGTCTTCCCGCGTGCTCTGCGCAAAGTTACCATCAGTAGTGCAATCGACAGCACTGGGCAAGGCAACATGTCTTCCCGCGTGCTCTGCGCAAAGTTACCATCAGTAGTGCAATCGACAGCACTGGGCAAGGCAAGATGTCTTCCCGCATGCTCTGTGCAAAGTTACCATCAGTAGTGTAATCGACAGCACTGGGCAAGGCAAGATGTCTTCCTGCGTGCTCTGCGCAAAGTTACCACAGAAGTAACACCCGCCCCCTCCCCCCCCCCCCCCCCACACACATACAAACGCACTCTCGTGCACAATCATACTAAGTCCCTGTACTCGCGCACTTCAAGACACAAACTTACATAACTTGTGCTTGCCCTTAACGGGAAATTTGATGAGCAGATCGCGCGGATTGCTGCAGATCCACACGTACGGTGACTCGGACTCGCCATTTGGAAACTGTACGAACAGGAAACCGTACGTTCAGAACAACAAACAGCAGCAAAGACAGAAATGAAATGCCAACATCACAAGCAAGATCATAAACACAACACTGTGTCCGATGGCTGGACACAACGGCCACAGTGATAGTGCGCACTCACAATAAATGAACGGCTCAAACACAAGCCTATCGCTAGTTACGGTCTCGTAAGTATTTCCGACTTCTCACTGCAATTTGAACCCCGTTTTTATTTGCATCCTACCTACGACCCCATTTGGGTAACATCATAATTATTACATGGCTGTCTCCAAAGTCGAACTAATCAAAAAATGGGTACGGAATACCTTTAACTTTACGTACCGCCACCCATGCATTCTCTGCCTTCCAGGGCAGTTTCAGCAGATAGAACATGCATAAGAAAACTACTTCCTCGAAAACAAAACAAAAACTCTGTGACATTTTCATTTACATTCCGAAGAGTTATTGTGCTGAAGAAAGTTGGTTCAGTGGAACAAAAACACTTCAAGACAATGAGTGGACGTACTTGTTTGAAGTATGATTGTACGCTATTATATTAAAAAAAGTAAAGTTTGCACGTCCGCGTTACCACCGGCTATACAATTGCGTTGAGAAACACAACCAGCTTAGGAAGTTTCGCATGTGCCAGGCCACCACCATGCGTGTGATACCAGGGTGGCAGATGCAGCGCCTAACGGCGAGGGTGAGGTGGTAAGTCTCACAACCAATGCCCGACAAGGGGGCTAACCTCGTTAGCTGCATCCATGTTACCCTCACTCCGAGTAGTGAGTACCCAGTTGACCGTGGGTGTCGGCGTAGTTCACTGCATGTAAAGTGGTTCACGCCTGCATCACCGCATTTGCTAGCACAGTACACGCTCCCTGCTCCCAGCGCGGGTCTCGAACTCGGGACCTTGTGATTCGCAGGCAAGCCCACAACCACTCGGCCAAAGCGCTTGTGTAAATGTATACAAAATAAATGGAAACTGTTTGAGTCCCAGTCGGAGCCACCATTGCTCGGTTCTTGAGAGCTCAAATCACAAGAACTGAAGCCGGGTTGATCGGGGTCACAACGTTTTTGTTTCTGGAGGAAGTACATGTATTCACCAGTGAGCCCGTGTGCACTAAAATAAAAATATTAATGGGCAGTTGACTCTGTTACCATGGTAACTGCGAGTAACCTGGTGTACGGACTCCTTGCCAACCGGTGCTACCTGCAGTCAGGCGGGGTGATTCCCTAGAGAGCACAACATGCAAAGAGATTCTGGAAACTTTTCAAAGTTACCTTTTGCCTGTATTCAGTCTGCTCCAGGCAGTCTTCAACATCCACACAGCCGAGAAGAGCACCGGTGGGATACTCATTTGGGAACACCATGTCATTACCTGCAGGAATGAGACAAGGAGAAGGAGAGAGAGAGAGAGAGAGAGAGAGAGAGAGAGAGAGAGAGAGAGAGAGAGAGAGAGAGAGAGAGAGATAGAGAGAGAGAGAGAGAGAGAGAGAGAGAGAGAGATAAATAGAGAGAGAGAGAGAGAGAGAGAGAGAGAGAGAGAGAGAGAGAGAGAGACAAAGATAGATAGAGAGAGAGAGAGATAGAGAGAGAGCCTGAAGTGTGTCCTACTTCTAAGAATAATTAACTACAGGTAGAGTTGTGCTAGGTGATATTCAACTAAAAGCGCACATTTGGCGACCCGGACATGCAGCGCCCTTGACGGCCTGGAAGTAGCATGAATGATACTGGACTTTAGCCATGTACAAACGCAGTGATCTATTGGGAACTGGTCCAGGACACTGGTTTTACACAGTGGGGCGGATTTCACCGAGCGCAACTGTACATAGCTGTGCTGAGATGTGGACTCATGCATGCAGTTATGCAGTAACTAGATTTGAAATGAGGATAATGCATGTAGTTGTGCTGGATATTGCAAAAAAGCAGGAAAAACATAAAACCAAGAGTATACAAGAGTATATAATACTGCATATGGAGAACCCATATGCAGAGTTGCACACTCTTGATCTTGGGGGGGGGGGGGGGGGGTAATATATTATCAAGAGTACATAACCCCCCAGAGTGTGCAACGCCTGATCCAGCTCTGCATAGGGTCTTGGTCGAGCGGAATCGGATCTTTGCGTCATAATACCGTACACATCTGAGGGGAACCCGGGGAGTCGCGGGTACTCTTGGATCAAAAACAATGGTGCCCTGCCTCGAGACCGGCCTTGCGCTGGTGTGAAGTGTACGCATGACATCAGAAGATCCGATTCCGCTCGACCAAGACCGTACACAGAGCTGGATCGGCGTTGCACACTCTGGGGGGGGGGTTATGTACTCTTGATATTATTATATATACTCTTGATAAAACCAAAAGAAGAAAAAAATGTTTCCGCTCGGGTTCGAACCGAGGACCTTGTGCGTGTGAAGCACACGTGATAACCACTACACTACGGAAACCTGCACATTGGCAATAAGAGCACAATGCTATCTCATTTCGATATCAAGGCGTTCGGAAAAAGGAATGCAGGTGGGGGAAAAAAACACTCACAATTTACAGGGCCCGTTTTCGTACGAAAAAAACAAGCCGGGCTAAGGGCCTGGTCAGACTGCGGCAAAATCGAAATAATCCGAGGATTATAATCCGAATCTCCATAGTAACTTGCCGCCAGAGCGGCAAAAGCGAGAGTTGACGCTCCAAAAAAAAAGCAAGAACGGGCCACGCTTTTCCGCTCCAAACAGGATTTGACGCTGATACGCCATTGACGCTGATAATCACTGATTTTTTCATCTCGATATCGAGGAGCTAATTGGCCACGGACAACAACAAAACTCATAAGGATGGTTGCAAGGATTGCACTGAAGGTGTTGGCGATCCCAAGGTGAAGGAATTTGACGTCGTTCGTGGAGATTACCACTTGACGCTCGAAATGAAGTTTGAATTTTCATTCTCCCCACATGTGTAGTGTGATCGCGATTCAAATTCTGGACGCTGTTCTTTTTTCGTCAGGCAACCAAAAGTTGCCGCAGTCTGACCAGGCCCTTATTCGACTTATTCCAGAGTAGAAGCCACACTGGAGTATAAGTCGCACCCAGACCTTTGTCATGAACTACAGACATCTTCCCTGGTCATCACCGTTAATTTGACCATCGTGGTTTAGGCCGCATCGACTTTTTTCCGGGTGAATTACTGTGGCTTACACTCCGGAAAACACGGTATTATTCTCATGTAAACGTCCCTTACATCTAGGGCCCATAACCAGGAGTACAACAGCCGCAACGTGCAATTCCACATCTGCACTGTATGCTGCACACAACCATTCCAACGGTGACATTTTTTGGTTCAGGCCATCATGAACCGTAGGCTGTCCTGTCACACGGTATGAGATTGCTCTGGAATTACTGCAGTCTGCAATTCAGTGCCAGTTTGGCCATGGTCAGGTGCGATCTCATTCATCAAGATTATCTCCAACACGATCTTCTTTTAATTTTCTTGTACAAAGGAACACTCCCTCCATGGTTTCAGATGAGTAATCTTTTTTTAAAGTGAAATTTGTGGCGTAGTATAACTTGATTTGAATGGCAGTAACGAGACTGTTATTGGAGTTGAGGAGTGAAGTTTCATACAAATTTGTGCTTCATCGGTAGACGTACCTTCTGGACGATTACGATAGAAGCACTCGATGGTGTCGACGTCCTGCTGGTCGACTGGTTTGGCAGCAGAGGCTATCCACAGACGGCCACGATGAGATGTGTACCAAGTACGGCCTTCATCACTGTAACGTTACAGCGTGCATACACACAGATACAGCGGCAGAAACACACGGAACGTTGTGAAGCCATGGGCTCGATGAGACAATCCTGCGAGGATGTTGACTGTTCGGAAGACAAACCGTGCACTGGAGTGTGCGTGTGTGCGTGCGTGCGTGTGTGTCTGCATGTGGGCCCATGAAGCTTATAAGTACACCAGGGAGCTATACTCAAACCACAACAGATGTACACAAAACCAAGGGGCAGATCCCATGCCCTGCCTGTAGGCAGACACCGGAAGCAGCTACAGCTTAACGACAATGGGAGCATGGATGGGCTTGGGCCACTTACCGTTTGATTCCAGCAACGAGTAGAGTGGCCCATGGCTGATGCATGCTTAGGCAAGCCCCTGAATGGCACACCGGCAGGACGCAAGCAAGCACGGGAGAGAGAGAGAGAGAGAGAGAGAGAGAGAGAGAGAGAGAGAGAGAGAGAGAGAGAGAGAGAAAGAGAGGAAAGAGAGAGAGAGAGAGAGAGAAAGAAAGAGAGAGAAAGGGAGAGAGAGGCAGACAGACAGACAGAAGACCCACGAACACATATAAAGGGATAAACTCCTTAGGTCCAGGCGGCATGGGAGCCTAGGGTGCCCAGATTTATTACCTAGGTGTTAACCCATACCCATGTGCATGGCCGTTATGAACGATAACACTTTCTGAACAATTTCTCCATCTTCATGCAGGCAACACGGCCTTTCCGCACAGCAACACGTCCAAAACAGTGCCGGATAGACGTACGGGACAGGACCTGGAGAAATCATTCACTCAACTTCATTGGTAGACAGACAGATACAGTTCAACATGTAAAGGCGACCACCTGCCCCAGATGACCACTACCTCCAGAAGCAAGGTATGCCACTTCCAGTCAGACGACCCTGGATAAGAAGACCACCTGTACACGGTAACCACTTTTGTAAGGTCCATTGCGTGGTCGCCTTACCCAGGTTTTACTGTGTAAATCGCAAATTAGCATTTCGGACGAGTCAAGCGACACAAATACATGTAGACGTGTGTGTGTGTGTGTGTGTGTGTGTGTGTGTGTGTGTGCACACGAAGAGGACGCCACCATATCCACAAATCCCTATTCCCTGCGTAGGGGCACAGTTCAAACTCACCTTCGTCTCTCATCTCCAGCAGCTCCTTGTCCTGGATGCGCACTCGACCGTGCGAGTTAGCGCTGGGCGCGGCTTGGTGTGTTCGTTTTGTCTTCTGCTCATCAACGTACTGAACAGGGCGAGAGAACAAGACACGGGGCGGGGTACGCAGGAAAAGGTTAGGAAAAGCTTCACCAAAGGAGCTGCAATAGACCCGGCCATTGCGATTTGGTGGCACAGTGCCACAGGACGAGACATGATAGGGATGCACAGAGAAAGATGAGCAAATTTGCAAGTACCAGTATCAGCTTTTACGCCTTGACATCACCAAGCAAGCTTGGCTAGCCTGTACCCGGTCTAAGCCACTAAGTCATCAGTTATGGGACCGGTAATCTTCTCTCCTTTCTCTACAAGTGCCCAGCGGCTCTAATCTGGTGGGAATTGAGGAGTAAACAGGTTTCGAGACCTAGTGCACTAGGCCGACCTGACGTCTCGGCTTCATAGCAAACTAGATGCACTGCATAGTGCGGTCTTTAAAGTTTGAGCCACAGGAGGTCTTTGAAAGCAGGATAACCCTTACAGGCTTACACACAGTCAACATATGCAGTGACAAGGACAGTGCACGTACAGGCCAGGTTAGCGCTCGGCAAGGTTTCACAAATCGTGAGTATAGTAAAACCTGTCAAGGCGACCACCTGTCCTAAAAGACCACCTGTCCTAAAAGACCACCTGTCCTAAAAGACCACCTGTCCTAAAAGACCACCTTTCCTAAAAGACCACCTGTCCTAAAAGACCACCTGTCCTAAAAGACCACCTGTCCTAAAAGACCACTGAAACCAGGACCAAGGGATGCTATTTCCAGGCAAATGACCCTGGATAAGGAGACCACCACCTGGTAACAGAGACCACACTTTGAAGGTCCCTTGAGCGGTCGTCTTAGACAGGTTTCACTGTATGTGCATAGACAAGAACAGCTCCAGGACCCTACATGCCTATAGTGTGTAGGAAGGCATTCGGATTACAGAATCTAATACAGCCTGGATTGAACATATAGCCTTATAGGTACGCTCGGTGAAATCAGACCTAATGTGCATACTTGGCGCCCTCAACTTGCATGGCTCTTGATGCCCTGGAAAGTGGTACGGATGCGACTGGACGTGCGCATATACTAATGCAATCATGCAATCAGAACTCTGTCAGGGCGCCATCGGTGCATTTTGGGTTGGATTGCAACCAATGCAACTGTAGTTGGATCTTAACCTTTTGAGCCCGGGCCCATTGAAAACCTCTGCCATGCAGTAAAAATTGTAAATTCACTCTATGTGAGCAAACTTGATTTCAAACGATTCTTTCATGTATCCTGAGCACAGAACTGTTTTTGGTTTGGAAATACAACAAAGATTACAAAAGTTATGACCGTTTTCAGAAAGGTAGTTTTACACGAATTTGGTATTTTGAAATGTATGCACGCGCATGTAACGCCAGTTCAAACTTACGGAGCGACTCGCATTTTTTACTGTACTCGGACATCCTAGGAGTTCTCTGTGCAGCGGTACAGCTTGACGCCACGCCACGGAAGAAACGCGGAATCGATGTAGTTCCGTACTGACTCGTGACGTTCTAGAACGTCACGCGTGTCACAGTGGCAGTGGTCATGACGTGTCAGAACGTCACGCGTGCTCAAAAGGTTAAAAAATAAAGCTGGTACTGATTGTAGAGGCAATTCGGTTTTGCAAGGTTAACCCTTTAAGAGCCACAGGAAATTTTCAAAAATCTGCATTTTTTCGTGTTCCTCGGATCATAGCTTCAGTTCTACTCACTCAATCCTCACAATCTAGGGCTTCCTGGAACGGTCTCCGCGAGAGGAAGAGAATGAGGTCGATCATGATAGCCAGCACACCGTCTATCCAGCGCTAGATCGCAGCGACAGTACGAAAAATGCCCCAAAATGCGTCCAATTGCGTCCCGCTCCAGATATTTCATTCTACTCGATCGTTGAGTTCCAATTTTTTTGCTGTGTACTCTTGACAATATCAACAGTGAAACCCGTGCAAATTCGAGTAAACCAGCGTGATGAAAAGTCTCAAAAATCTCAATACTAAAGTTGCACTGCGCGCTTTTGAAATTGCCGCGATCGCGGCTCAACTTACGAGTAATTTATCTCGGGAACCGTTGCTCGCAGCGCTTCGCGGATTGTTTCTCCCGACAGGTGAGAGTTTTCTCTTCGCCATGGATATTTCGATCGATAGATTTGAGCGAGATTGGACTGAGTTACGATCTTTTGAAGTTTTGCATTTGAAACGACGCATTCAAGTATGGGGCGGCTCTTAAAGGGTTAACAAAGCTCTTTGGAACTTCAGCTGTATAAACAGGAAAATAAGTGTGCCGTACCGTAAGCTGTTTCTCCACTGTGGGATTAGCAATACTCGTTAAGCCCAGCCGCGGGTCTTGATCCGTGGTGGCGCCGGCTGTACAGGACGATGCGGATGGAGCTGCTGTTGGCTTTCTCCAGTTATCCTGTAGCGCCTTCAAAACTGGATCCTCACCACCATATAGAGCTGAAATGAAGAAAGAGAGAGAGAGAGAGAGAGAGAGAGAGAGAGAGAGAGAGAGAGAGAGAGAGAGAGAGAGAGAGAGAGAGAGAGAGAAGGAGAGAGAGAGAGAGAGAGAGAGAGACACACACACACACACACACACACACACACACATGCGCAAGCACACACGCACAAAAATTACACAGCCAGAAAAGCAACTCTGCATCAGCATCTGCCCACATAGCCAGAATGCAGGCACTCGCTGTTTTTACCATGCCCATATCCAAACAAGATTAACTCGTTCAGAGGATTTATATTAGGATGAGCAGGAGAGCCCCTCGACAGGCCTAGAGCCTCAGGGCTATGCTTTGAAAACATCGTTGCCATCGGTTTGGATTGTAAGTTGGAACTCTTCTGCTGATGAGAGCTTACACCATCCATAGACAAATAGCAGTTCAGAGGTTGAGAACAATTCCCAGAGTTCTGGGAATGTGCGTTCCACCTACCGTCTGACTGCTTCATTTTAGATTCCTCGTCATCGAGCACTCGGCGACCGGCAAAGTCGATCGTGACCTTGCGCTGGCTGCGTGTCGCGTGCCGTTGCTCGTGCAGCTCTTCTTGTCGAGCCTAGTGAGCACAAGTCATGGAGACACAAGAGAAGGCCTGAGTACACTGCAGTAATATCATTGGATAATACAATGGGAAGTATGCATTGAAGACGGCCGTCACCTTTTTGCGGGGCAAGTTGCCCCATTTTTGGGCAGGTACAACCCGTTCTAGTACATTGTGAGTATGGCCTTACAAAGTTCATGACATTATTTTTATGCAGAGGTGGTATCACGGTGTGTACGGCCGGTACGGTTATAGTGGACTTGCCCCGCAAAACCTAACGGCGGGAAATAGATGCATACGTCCCATTGTACTGGATAATACGAGCTGCAGAGTTAGCTCAATGTCAAAGACTGACAGAGCTTGGAACATAGCAGACTCAGCTCTGTATCAGTTGTCTGATGATTGCCCAGCGGCATGAAGCTCAGAGTTACGACCTGACCGTCCCCCGCTGAGTCTGCTATGTTCATTGAAAATACCGTATTCTCCAGTATAAGCCGCACGGGAGCATAAGCTGCACCCAGATTTTTGCCACGAAATACAGACATCTTCCCTATTTATTACTGTTAAGTTGAGCATCGTAGTATAAGCCGCACGGACATTTTTTGGGTGAAGGGTTCCTGAGCTTAGATTTGTCTGCATCTCAAAACATGTACAGTCAACTTTGCTTATAACGACACTCGGCGGGGCATCAGAAAAGTGTCCTTATTCGCGAAGTGTCCTTATACCTGAAGTCTCATTATATGTGTTACAGTCAGATGGGACCTTGCTCTGGGCATGGGAGTTCTGTCGTTATTCGCGAATTGTCGTTATATCCGCAGTCGTTATTAGCGAAGTTGACTGTACACACGTAGGTGCACACCGTCATGTACATGTAAACGTACAGCATCTGCCAGAAAGCAAAGCACATCCACCCTCTGACCATACCGTAAGGCTGCAACCACACTAGGTACAAAATCACGTACAAACGGCATTACAGTAGAAATCGTCATGCCGACGCGTGCGAAATGCAAAATGCGCTTTGTAGGTTTTCAGCAACTGGCGCACCCCTGTAGAAAGCCACGTAACTCGTTTGTCGTTTTCGTCGTTTTCGCGCCCCATCTCCTGTGTACAACTTTGTTTTTGTACCTGGTTGTCGTACATACCATCAGCATCAGCATTGTTTTTGAATTTCCCGGTCTTTTGCAGCGCATGGCACACGCTTTGGTACGACAACGTCACGTGCTGTTCGCGTGAAAACGTCACCTATGCAGACCGAAAAGTGTAGTGTGGTTGCGTACCGACTTGTACTGAGATATGCATGAAAATTTGTACTGTGATTTTTACGTAGTGTGGTTGCGGCCTAAAGCGAGAAGCTTTCGCGGTGCGCACATTTAGCGTTATCATGAATTGGGCCGGTTTGCGAAACCTTTAGAGATTTTATCTCTTCAGTTGGATCTGGTACTGTCTGCAATCAATGCACAGAGCAGTTTGCGGTGATTTATATTTGCGAATGGGTGATGGTCGGGAAAATAGCGAAATTTAATCTCTAGCGAAAGTTTCTCACTTTACAGTAATCATTCGAGGTAAAAATGTGTACGTACATTTGTATATTCGCTACTACAGCTGGTACAACACGCACACAGCAATGACACAACCAAGTCCTTTTCTGCCATTACTCAGACTGTTTCGTGTTAAAACACTCATCAGACAGCATGTGCCACTACAGTTATAATAGCACATGGCATTATACGGAGTACAGTCAGACCTCGCATAACCGCACACATCCGTTTCCCACAAAAAATATCCGGATTGGCGAGGGAACCGGATAATCGAACACACATACTGTATGTATTCACGGCATATGCTGTAAATCGGTAACCAACGATTTTCTTCCGGATGGCGAGGGATCCGGATAAGAGAGGACCGGATAAGCGAGGTCTGACTGTAATGTGCATCCTCGGCTTTTGAGCTTCAACTAGCACAGCCACAGCGCACTGCAACACACTCCAGCAAACACGGTAGTCAATTACCGTTTTTCAAAACTTAAAAAGGGATTTCCATGACACTGAGTCCACCAAGGTATTGGTACACGTTAGATAGACGCGCTCGGATCTCACCTGTAACGTCTTGCGATCCTCTTTCGACAGCCATGAGTTTGTGTCTGCCGCAAAATAATCCGATTCATCGTCAATGACACGGGTGCGTTGTACACTGTGGAAGATAAGAAGAAAGTCAGGCCGATGGCGAATGACCTGTTTAGGATATGTGTGCACGTGTGTGTGTGTGTGTGGCGTATGATTTGAACACAGTGATGTGTAATGCCACTCCGGTATGAACACACATATCATCACATATGCAATGGTGCTTCTGCTCTAACATACCAGGGTTCAAACAACAAATGCATCCAGGCCAGATGTTGATACGAAGATCAATCACAAGGGAAACACTAAATTACACTGCATATATGTGTGTTGCTCAGTAAATAAAGTCACCAGCCATAAAGAGAGCAGACCTTGTCTTGTCGTAGTCCAGCAGGCGCGTTTTGAGCTCCTCGGCTTTCCGAAGTGCGGGTGAAGCGGACGGCGATAGGCCATTTCCGCCACCAGCTGAGTCACCGTTCCCTGCAACGGGCTGGCGAGTGAGCTGCTGCAGCTGCACGAACAATAATACAACGGGGGACATGACATCATGGTTAGGAACAGTATACACGGTGTGTTCCCGATTGCACATGAACCCCCCCTCCCCATCTAACTCGTGTATCAATCAATTATTACAACCTCACTACGAGTTCACTTTCCATGAATGAAGCTGCAGGAAGACTCACCACTGCTACTACGGTCCATGCAGTAAAACCTGTAATGGTGACCACTCGACCATGGCGACCACATTTCCTTGTCACAGACGCATTCACATTCAAAACAGCTCGGATAAGGTGGCCACTCGCTCAACGCGACCGACGACCACCCACCCGCGACCGCGTTGCGCAGTGCCAGTACATGTAAATGTATGCATTGCATGGTGCACCATGCATGGTAGATCTACACATCAGTGCAGGAAGTGTAGATGTGCATGGTGCATGCAGTGCGACACTTGACAGGTCTGAGGACCCCAGGCACACGAATCGTGCTAGAGTAGCATAGGCGTGCGCACTGTGATACACTGATCAAAATGATGTGTCACATGTGGATATGGTCACGTGACCCATTGAACCTGGATAAGAAGACCACCTGGCCACGGTGACCACTTTTTATCGTCTCTTGAGGGGTCGCCTTAGACAGGTTTCACTGTACATGTGCATGTACATGTATCTCGCTTACCATTCCACCTCCGGGTACGCTCTGCAGTTTCTCGCGCAGCTTAGCGCTACGCTTGGACTCCCTGGCCAGGACTTCCCGGTCGGCTGCGGTGGTGACGAGCTCTCCACAGAACAAACACGGCCCAGCACCTTCCTGAAAGCGGCAAAGAAACATTTCAGATTTCAGACCGTTCAAAGTGCTCAAGTTTCGAAGCTGGATGTAGAGCACGTCAGCCGTGAAGTACATATCTGTATGGTCCTTGGAGACATGTTATACTGATGTTTCACTTCGCTGGTGAAACACCACATGACCAAAATGATTATAGTGCCATGAAAAAGATCTATACCGTAAAGTACCGTTGATCCCCCCCTCTAATTTCCGCTCCCTGTCAAATTTCTGCCTGTGAAGCGACTTCGGTGTATACAGTGAAATAAGGATACGAACCGACACATGCACTGCTGTACGCAATACGTGCCAGTACAGGTTGAACATGTGCACACAATCCAGCATGCCAAGTCTGATCTTCTGTTTCGTGGTACATCGTACTGTAATTGACCAGCATCAGCTAATTCCCGTCCCCTGCCGAAAGCCAGCTGGGAAGCGACATACCGTGGGGGAAGGGGGATCAATAGTACAGTAGAACCTGTAACTAAAGACCACCCTGACTAGCGGCCAGCCTGGTACTACAGACCACTTTGCCAGGCACGGACGGTCTCACATTCATATAACGGTTGTGCGGTGCAAACCTCTAACTAAGGACCACCTGCCACTAAAGACCGCTTTCTCTGGCCGCAAGGGGTGGTCGTTAGTCACAGGTTTTACTGTACTTTTCGGTGAGCCTCGCACGTACCTGTTCACAGACGATGCGTCCGCAGCGTATGCAGTTGGCGACCAGCGGGTGACGCGACGCCTGGCACTCGCACACGTGACGGCCGGGCACCTGGAGTGCCGAGGTGCGCGCCGACGTCATGGTAACAAACTTTCGCCGGCCACCCTTGGTGCCGCTGCTGCCACTACCATTGCCACTGCCATTGCTGCCGTTGACGTTCTTCACAGTACTGGTGGTGGGTGCGACCGCTTCAGACAGTTTCTGAAGACCAAAGCGAGCAAAAGAACGACCAAATCTTAGCTGATACACACACATGTTATATCTGAGCCTAATACTCTAATAGCCAAGCGCAAACGGAAAGTATTCTTTAATGCTTGGCCTGTCAGCCAGGGCTGTGGACAATGTAACGCTATAGTCGGCCTGTCAGCCAGGGCTGTGGACAATGTAACGCTATAGTCGGCCTGTCAGCCAGGGCTGTGGACAATGTAACGCTATAGTCGGCCTGCCAGCCAGGGCTGTGGACAATGTAACGCTATAGTCGGGACTACATCACGCAACGCAACACACACCTTCACGAATCCTGGCGGTGCTGACGCTGTTATCGACTTTGCCTTGCGCCCAGTTGGCCGCGAGTGCGTCTGATTAGAGTGCGGCTGTGCTGCAGGCGACGACGAGAGGCCAGGCGGTGGGGAATTCCCTTCCTGCACTTTACCGGTCTTTGGTTCCTTGCGCGGAGCAAGCAACATTTCTTCATTGTCATGCTTCCTGTAACCCTGTGAGGTGGTTCCGGCAAACACGACAAAAAGAGCACAAGCAGATGAAATGACGAAGTCAATTCGATACAGGCTAGAACAAGGTTTTATTCGCGAAATGAAATGCATACAAAATGATCCTCAGGAGAAAAATTCTAACTCTCTTGTTTGAAGTTCGCTTTGCATGAAGCTCTGACAACGCCTTGCATGAAGCTCAAGTTGCATATAATTTTCGCTATGTCTTGTACGTTACAAAGATCTGAATTCACATGGACTAAGGAAAAACTGCACTCTTATAGACTGAGGGAGGATGCGTCTGAAGAATCTGAACATGCCCATATCTGAATGTGTGTAAGCAGCTTCATATTTTTAGTAGATCAGCACAGCCTAAGACCCCCTCTTGGATGCACTCACACTCAAATACACATGTACTTGTCACGAGACATTGGGGTGATGTTACGTTTCCATCATGTTTCAGCTCTCACCGGATCATTGGTTCACTTGACTTGGAACTGTACAGGGTCTTGGGTCTTGACTACATACTTTGAAGTATGAAGTCGTTCCACTCTTGGAATTACTACGCTATCCTAGGCTGTCTCTGGGCGGAAGTCTTGATGTACTGTGTGTGTGTGTGTGTGTGTGTGTGTGTGTGTGTGTGTGTGTGTGTGTGTGTGTGTGTGTGTGTATGTGTGCATGCGGGTGTGTGCATAGTCACTGCGTTTCACATGCACACAACCCCACGTTTCCAGACAAAGTCGATGGTGGAAAATGGAACAAAGACAAGCCGTGCAAAACAAGCCGGAACGTACCACCATATCTGCCGGAGCGGGAACGGACTTGGCGTGAGGGTGCCAGCGTCGCACCAGCTGTTCTACAAACACATCCTTGTTGGATCCCTTGCGATATCTACCCAGCAGGTCAGACATGTACTCTTTTAGATCCTCCAGGGACTCAATGGAAAGAATATACCTGCCGATGAGTCCAGGCACAAACACAACACACAATAAAGCCATCTCAATTCGAACCCCCAAAGGTCAGACCTTCTAAACATGTTAATGCTCTAGCTACTCAACAATGGAGGTTTTGCTGGAGGAAGACGATTTGGCACGCATAGCACAACAGCCACGGGGAGATCTGATGAGGCCTTTCGCATCACTACGAGTACTCTTCATAATCTGAACATTGGTGATATGAGGAGATAAGCAAGCGAGTTTACATAATTATAATTATCTAGTTTTCTAGGCGGTCAGAGCAGTGACAGATTTCCACCTAAGAGAGTGCAGGTGTTGCCAACCACATACTGTAAAACAGGTTATTTTCGGTGTAGCTTCAATTTTGGTGATTTCGGTAGCGAAACCAGGCACCTACAAATAAATTTAGACAACAGCTAAAAGGCCGCACAGTGTGCACTGCATGTGAAGGGAATGCTGGTCACCTAATTCTACATTACACCTGAAACCTGGCAGGTCCCGGGCACCAACACGTTAATGCACATAATATTGGACTCGGATGGAGAGCCAAGGATACATTTAAAGCAAAGAAAGAAGGATCGAGAAACTACAAGTTACGCTATAATGTCCACTAACATCACGTCCTTCACAGCTGAGACTTTCAGCTCGTGCTTGTCTTGGTTGCGCTCACCTTCCCCTCCTCATGTTATTTCTATAACTTAGAACCTTCCGAGTTGGAAGGCTGTTGGAGTGCGCATCCAAGATGTGCTAGAGCTGTTAGCCAGTTAGTTGTAGAACGTCAGTACCGGCGGTCAGCGTCGTGCAATGTTATCGCATGAGCTGATTGTTTGGTAACTGGTGGTGTTAGTGGACATTATAGCGTAACTTGTAGTTTCTTGGTCGCTTTTTCTTTACACCTAATATGACATGGTCCACAGTAGTGAAACCAGGTGCAGGTTTGCAATGGAACTAGGACCACTAGTGTCTTTTAGCTCTGTCCTCGCAGTATCGAGCACTTTCGTAAGTGATTCGCAACTTAGTTTGTAGTGAAACTAGATATACACAGCTGGCTAATGTCATACAATAATGGCGACTATGGTACGTGTCTGGCAATGCCAAACCAGTGACAACTAACTTTCACACATGCAGTTGCGCTCGATGAAATACAACCAAGAAAGCATAGTTGGCACCCTCAACTAGCACGCCCTTGACGCCCTGGAAGTGGCTTGAATGCGGCTGGACGTACACTGTACTGATACAACGATGTAATCGGAACTAGTCCAGGGCGCCAGCTTTGCACGTTGGGTCGCATTTCACCGAGCGCAACTGTATTTCTCCTGCACACACAGTCACAGGTCACAGCTATGTACAGTGCATCGTGCATACTGTAAACTGCTTAATATTCGCGACGGAGTAATGTTCGCTATTTTTGCGAGAAGAGCGTAATGCGATTATTAACCATCGTGAAATCTAACTTCAACAGTGGGTGGATGTAAGTGGCCCCAGTGTTTCGCGAACGTTTGCCATCGCAAACTCGCTGGTTCTGAGAAATCGCAAAAATTTAGTGACGCGAATATTAGGCGGTTTACAGTAGCTAGGACTAGTGAGATGTATTGTGTGCTCAACTGCTCAAGCTGAGTACACGCTGTGTTCATATATTACACTAAGGCAACCTGGTGACAATTTCAGGTGATGGGGTACATTGCTGACTCATTGTCATTGTCGTAATCGTCAGTGTTAGTGCAGTTAGTACCAGGGTCTCAGTGAATAGAGGTCTGGGACTACATCGCACCCCACACCAGTGCACACTCCAGTGATCACAGGTCTGGGGTTGCACAGCTCAGCGGGCACAAGAATCCCTTGCTCGACCACTGGTTTCTTGGGTCCTATAATATTATCTCTTCTCTTTTAAATCTTCTTCTGTTTTGAATCCGCTTTTTCTGCAAACATGGTATGGTTGGGTGTGATAAGTATACTCATGTTTTTACAATAGAGAGGTTCCGGGTACGATTTTCCATACCAAGATCCGCAGAGGCGCTACTGATTTTGGTACGGAAAATCGCAGAGGCGCTACGGATTTTCTATACGTCGTTTTCGAGTAGTGAGCTGTTCCGGAGTACGGAAATTATGTGTTTGACGTCATGGCTTTGGTTACGATCGCCATTACGTCATATTCCCCGTGTTAACCCTTTTTCAACCAAGGCTATGAATACGGTTAGATGTACTGTCATCACCAAACACATACCGAATGTCAATGCCATTAAAACCGTGGCCTTATATTCAAAACACCACTGCTTTCTGGGCTATTTTCGGTGCAAAATAACTCACCCACTACGCCATGCCACAAAAGTCAAAGTCCACACAGAAATTTCAATCTAAATCCACCTGTTCACCCTTCCTCCTGGGCTGTAAGTTTGTTAGCATAGTACTTATCCCTTCATTTTTACAAAATATACTTCAAATGTCATTTCATTTATGAAGCCCATGGCTTTATAACTGAGGCTGGCTATATATTTGAATATAACTCCATGGCTTTAAAGGGGAAGTATACCCTAAAATCAAATTTTCACCAGTTGTAGTCTTCTGGGTGCTGAGTCGAATGGTCGTGGTCCGAGGAAGCTGAGACGCGCCCTTCCTACTTGAATCCCAATCGAACTCGCGCACTTCCACCGAAACTGGGTGACTGCGCCCTACGAGATGGGGATTTGTATGCAAAATGTCACTAAAAGCGCCATTTCGTTCTTATAAAAGCACGGATGACCGCGATTGGCCCATATGTTGAAGCCTTTTGGACGCTGAGTCGACTGGTTTTGGTCCGAAAAGGCTGCGATGCAGCGTTCCTCCTTTATTCCCAATCGAACATGGTTGAACAGGCGGTCACGTGCTCCTGGGTGCCCAAATCACCTGGTCACCACGCCAGCAGGCGACAACTTTCACACCAAGGTTCAACTCGAGTTCAACTCGAGTGACAGGACTGCACCCAAAAAAGGTCAAACAGGCTAGTAAGTTGTACCCTGCAGGCACGGTGATCAGGTGACTGGTGTACGCAGGAGCACGTGACCGCTTGTTCAACCATGTTCGATTGGGAATAAAGGAGGAACGCTGCATCGCAGCCTTTTCGGACCAAAACCAGTCGACTCAGCGTCCAAAAGACTACAACATATGGGCCAATGGCGGTCATCCGTGCTTTTATAAGAACGAAATGGCGCTTTTAGTGACATTTTGCATACAAATCCCCATCTAGTAGGGCGCAGTCACCCAGTTTCGGTGGAAGTGTGCGAGTTCGATTGGGGAATAAAGGAGGAAGGGAGCGTCTCAGCTTCCTCGGACCAAGACCATTCGACTCAGCACCCCGAAGACTACAACTGGTGAAAATTTGATTTTAGGGTATACTTCCCCTTTGATTAAAGGTACGGACATACGGTAACAAGGAAGTCCAATGTAAAGTGACCATAACGTTTTCTTGTGATAATACTGGACTTTCTTGTGGTGTGTGTTTGGTGATGACAGCACATCTAACCATATTCATAGCCTTGATTAAATTACTGCCTCCGCGTTGCTTATTTAACCCCTTTTTAAATTAATTTCAAAATTTCGAATTTTGTTTGATCTTTTTATTTATTCCGAGTGCATGTACTGGTATTTCACCACAGGTAATTTGTAAGTAAGTTGTAGTTGGTGTGTATCCTTGCTGTTCTCTTCCCTTGCTGGCTGGCCCATTCAAGGTTTCCGTACGTCTTGCCTCTCTTTTCTAGCATAGATCGTGTAGCTGTGGAATTCTCCACGGCCGAGGGTGTAGAAGATGGATGGAAAGTGATGTTTTTAAGCTCTGCGTGGTGCTTTGCTTGATGGTGTGGATGGTGACTTAGACCTTGCCGAGTATTTGCTCGAGCTGTTGAGTGAACTGGGTGATGAAGAAGAGAACGACAAGGAGCACGAGGAAGTGGACATGCCTGCTCGAAACCGCTTTAACCCAGCTCATCCGAAGTGGACTGAGGACGAATGGAAGCAGGTGTTCCATTTCCGCAAACCTGACATGGACAGACGTGGAGCAGCACTCCATCTGCCCGATGATATGCACACTCCAGACAGAAGGAAGAAATGGAGTGGCATGGAGGGTTTGTGGCTTTGTGCGTCGTCCTTGCTAGGCTGGCATATCCAAACTGGCTGTGCTCTCTAGCGAACATGTTTGGCCATCTCAAATCTGATCTGTCAAAAAAAGTTAACAACATGTTCACGTTTCGCTTCATTTCCGATGAGTGGCAGGATCTGGCGCTAAGGAAACGACATCCGTGGATGGCAGAACGCCTTGAACACTTTGCATCTGCAGTGGGGAGGAGATGCCCTTTGCAGAATGTTGTTGGATTCGTGGACGGCAGGGTGTGTGCCATCAGCTGTCCCCGTCTATGGGGCAGAGGCTATTTGATAACGGGCACAAGCGTGTTCATGCTCTAAACCTCCAGAGCGTGGCCACACCGGATGGGCGTATTGCTCCAGTGTATGGGCCTGTTCAAGCCCGGCGGCATGACTCTTTCACGCTGGAAGACAGCGGCCTGCTCGTCGAGTTGGAGGAGTGTTTCCATCGCCCAAATCCCGAGCCAGGCACAGCACCAGTCTTCAGCATATACGGAGACCCAGCGTACCCGATTCGAGCCCATCTGCTGGTTCCGTTCGGGGGCAACCAGCTCTCACCCGATGAGTGCCGCTCGTGTCTCCGTGGAATGGGAGTTCTGGAAGCTGCTCCAACTTTTTGCATTCATTGACTTCAAGAAAAATCTGAAGTTCTGCCTCAGCCAATGAGCACCATATGCTTGGTATATGCTTTATTCAGCAATTGCAATAAGTGCTTGTATGGAAGTCAGACTGCAACGTTCTCCAGTACAGAAGAGCATCCCGCTGTCCCACCTGCTCTGGAAGACTATAATAATTATTATACGTTTTCAAGAGGAACAAGCTTGGTATTCTTCTTCCACTGGCACACATGTACAGACACACATACAGTACTGACATGACAACAAATCATGAAGTGAATTTCTCTTCTTACGTTGCCTGGTCGTCCAAGTGCTCGGACTCCGCGTCTCCGTATTTTAACACTTTCCCCAGCTCCTTGGAGATCCAGTGTTTCAGCGCAGTATCGGACATGATCGCTGTTGCAAAAACGGTTGCCCAGTCTGTAGTGGTGATTGTGCAGGGTGCGTAGACTACGACTCTACGTGCTCACGTAAAATGATTCAATTCTCTATATTTTCTGCTCAGCTGTACTACATCAGGTCAAGACGCTAGTGAGCAGACAAGGAAATACTCGGAATTGCTACTGTTAGCTGAGCTAAGAGTTCCAGAATCAGACTGATATATTTCTCAAAAAAGTACGAGTACCGGGACATCGACAATGTACTTTTTGAATCAGGAAAATTGTTTCAAGGTGGCATGAAATGTCCTCCTCATCCATTTTTCACATGCATTGCGCTTTTGAATGTTCTTGCATTGTCACGTGAGGCATGACGTCGCCATTATGTAAGAGACGCGAAGGACTAAAGGGACCGTCACTTAATTTTTGCCGACTACCCGCCAAAAAAATCTTTTCGTTTCACGTGTCACTGACACGTCCGCGGACCGCGAGCGCGTACGACTCGTACTCGAGTACTCGCGCTACCTTTCACGTCAAGCAATCTGTTCACGCCACATGGCTGGATAGCGCGTAAACATGATTGAAGACTTGCAAAATCAATTTTTTTCCAAGTCCAGGTGCTAGGCCTAGGCAGTACTGATGCCTAATCAATGCCCAGGCAGCTGACTTTATTTTCGGAGAAACACTACTCATTGTAGTAAAAAGTAACAATGAATGGCGATATCATCTAGGAAGGATCGCTACCCCAACGCGAAGGAAAGGCCTTGCGCGGCTGCTCTACGAAGTGTTGAAGAAAGACTCATCAAAGTTAGTTGGTGGACGAACAACTCGCTGGCGCCGGAAAACTTGGCCCCCAACGATGGTGTTTGGTGAATCATCAAGCATAATGTCTTGTAGCAGTGTTCACCGAGGAAGGAGAACGCTCTAGCCGCTGCTGTTGTCCGTTTCATCCACGTTGGGCGTTAGCTGCACCGCGCCTATTGTGTTTTAGTATTCCATGGACACACATTAGCATTCAGAGCGATTGTGGAGCCACAATTTACTTCACACAGCGTTGTATTGTCCACGAGCGCAAACTTAATTATCAGCAGTAACTGTTACTCTTCATCCTACATGTAGACTTGGAGTATACACGGCCTTGTCACGACAGCGACAGCTCTACAGATCATGCAGAGTGTTCAAGTGAGAAACATTAATTTCTATTGTTGGTGGACGAATAAATGGCTGGTTCCGAAAAAACGCGGCCTGCACCGATGGTGTTTGGTGGATCATCAAACAGGGTGACCAGCAGTGTTCACCGAGGAAGGAGAATGCACTCGCCACCACTCCGATTCATCCAAGTGGGCGTTAGCTGCGCCGCGCCTATTGTGTTTTAGTATTTCATGGACGCACACTAGCGTTCTCAGCGATTGTGGAGCCACAACATATCTTCATGCGGCGTTGCACTGTCCAAGAGCAGAAACGTCAGCAGTGACCCATCATCATACATGTAGATTTGGAGTATACACACCATGCGCCAATGGGCCTCGGCACAACAGCGGCAGCTCTACGGAGTGTTCAAGTGAGAAACATTTGTTTCGACTTTTGGTGGACGAACAAATCGTCGGTGCCGAAAAACGTGGCCTGCGCCGATGGTGCTTGAAACATCAAGCATGGTATGTGGTGACTGTCAGTGTTGATCGAGGAAGGAGAACACTCAGGCCGTCGACCGTTCATCCATTTCGTTAGCTGCACCAAGCCTATTGTGTCCTTGTATTCCATGGGCACACAATCATGAAGCATGGCGTCTGAGCTGTGTTCACAGAGCGGGGAGATGCTCTTGCTGCTATCTTATCTGTCCTGTGTATTCCCAAGTGCCGAAGGCTCACAACGATGGTGTTGGACAAGTCAGATAAAATAGAGTCAACGTAAGTACGCATGTGTACTCTTACTGACTGAAACATAAGTGGGGTGTAAGAGCTAATTCAAATGGTGTCGCGACATTCTCATGTACGAGGTTAGTGTGTAGTACTTGTTACGTACTGAATTCTGTGACTTTGTTTTGGCTCCATATACTGCATGCATTCACGTTTCACAGTTATCAGTTTGACCCTGAGTTCATGTCTGTTATCCCGTGTCTCCTCTACTTATTTTTGTTTCCACACGGTTCATGGTGTAGCGCTGCACGTGTTCCGTCAGTTTGAACTTCAGCATAAATCGCAATCACTTGTATTTTCAGACATGTCACGTGATTGTTGCCAGGGTTTGAGCCAATCAGAGCGTTTACAGGCAGGGCCTGAACCCCTGATCATGCCTTGCCTGCCAGCTCTACTACGATATTATATGTCACGTACCCGCGCGCACGGTTCTCCTGCGCTTGGGCTTGCTTTCCCTTGGTAGTTGGAAGTCAGTGGCTGTTTTAGTACTCTTAGATTATGTACAGAAAGTGGTGGACATCACGCAACTGCAGTGTAAATTAAAGGGTGGTTGTCAACTGACAACCGCATAATTTTTCGACATAATTAATAAAAGAATTTTCATCTAAAGAGTGAAAAGCAACTAAATAGAGCGGTTGTCGGTTGACAACCCCCCTTTTATTTAGATTATGTATCTGAAGTTAACACAACGTAGAAATATCACAATTGTCTCTTGTGTATTATATCCGTCTGATGTCACCAGATCGTCACACGGTGCTGTGACCAAGATACGGATCATGCCGAACGCTGATTCAACTGGACGAATCGCGAGGCTTTTCAGATGCAGGGACACAATGGAAACTGAATGACTTCAGAACAGCACTGCTTGGCGCGTCTATACAGCATCATTTGGCACAGCAAGATGACAAAACAGCTAGCAGTGGCTATTGGTGAGAAAATTCTCTGCTGTGCCATTGGAGTGTGCACGATACACGAACCCTGCTCTTTTGTTGGCACCGCCTATGTAACTTACTGCATAGGGTGCAAGGTGACCGTTGTCGGTTTACATGTACTCCAGTTATTACACCGTGCATGCACTGAGTCTGTGCTGCACTGTGCATCCATAGGTGTTCGTTTGCGGTAGCGCAAGGTTGATGGATTGTTTTGTCCGCTGCTATTCGAAGCTCTCGGAGTCGGAAGCGTTACCTCTGTTTCCCCTGTTCCTCCCTGCGCGGAGTCTGTAGTTCTGGCTTGCAGTTGCTGTTACATGCATGTTGGCAGTTGCATGTGTTTTGGTTTTCAGTTGTCTTTATCAAGTTGTTTTGTGTGGACGACAGTTCAATATTCTAGCAGTTGTTGCACTTCCTACTTCTGAAGTACATTCCGTAGTTATCTGCGGTTGGTGTTTGAGAGAGCAAACTGTGTTCTTCTCCAGAGTGGAGTAAACCATTCGCTTGTGTCTGAGGAAAACCCTGTGTGTTGACGAAGAGGTTGACTTGGCTGTAGAGTGAAAGTACCACATGGTCACATGGTCCACAAAATCTTAGAACTAACTTAGGGTCTTCTGGCGTATGGTATAGTTATATGAGCAGCATGAGAGTGGAGTAAAAGACTATTAGCTCAAACATTCAGGCTTTCAAGAGTAGGTGTTTCATCACGGAATAGGTTCTGCAGTTCACTTACACACTGCAACAATGGACCAGCAGTGTCCAGCATACAATAGAGTCATGTGAATATGTACCGTATGCATACTCACAGCTGCAAGGCCAGCGCCCCGTGGCTGCTTGACTTCTCAATCGATATAAATATTCACAACAGTAAGACTCTGTGATCAATCAGAGCTGTGCTTCGAAGTAGTCACAAATGCCCCATGTTCAGTCACAAAACAAAACTTGGCAACCAGTCACAGCTTCCACGGTGCCCCAAGACCAGTCACCAGAAATGATCGTAGTAAATCTGCAGGGAGTTTCATAATCTGTTCATTGCAGAGTCCACTATGCTATGATTCAAGAGGGGGGTAGCGTTCCTGCGGATGCGGAAAACTTGGCTGGAACCCGAGTGTCACGTGAACCCTGATTTTTAAGACTTATTATTTGTTTTACGATGAGCCTATTATACGCGATACAGGCTCAGAACACACTTTTCGTCTAGTTGGAATATCAGGGATATAGGGCGGAGCAGCCCATATCCCCAATTATGACACGCGAGTAATAGTGAAATACGATTGGCGTATTGTGCTGGACTGACTGCGGTAATGTAAAGCTAAAATAAAGCAGTCAGTTTGCCCTTAGCATGGCCTTGTCATGACGGTGCCACATCCGTGGAAAGGCAACATGCCGGCTAATCTCCCTGAGAAGTTGAGTGGTTATCAGCAGGCGATGACGCTGTGTCGATGATGACCTGTTGATGCCCGACAGGAACCTTGCGAGGAGAGTCATTGGGCCTGACGGGTAGGTAAAGCCAACTTCCACATGAAGTTTGCGGATGGCTGACATGTAGACATGGACAGATCGGGGCTGAAAAGTTCTGAACAACTCGGCAGCAAAATAACACATAAAGTAAAAAGTCATCACCTGGCAATGGATTCCAGTTATGCCCTTGACAGAACTGGAAGTAACGGGTATCGGCGGAAAAATATTTCCGGCTGGTGCCAGTGCTGCTAGCTGCAGCACGGAGTCCGGCAACTGAGAGTTGGAAAAGACTGGCTGATCTGGCTCAGCTGCTGCTTCCGGAGCCCTCGATGGTTCAAACACCATCGGCCACTTGGATGAATCGCAGTGGTGGCGAGTGCATTCTCCTTCCTCGGTGAACACTGCTGGTCACCCTGTTTGATGATCCACCAAACACCATCGGTGCAGGCCGCGTTTTTCCGGAACCAGCCATTTATTCGTCCACCAACAATAGAAATTAATGTTTCTCACTTGAACACTCTGCATGATCTGTAGAGCTGTCGCTGTCGTGACAAGGCCGTGTATACTCCAAGTCTACATGTAGGATGAAGAGTAACAGTTACTGCTGATAATTAAGTTTGCGCTCGTGGACAATACAACGCTGTGTGAAGTAAATTGTGGCTCCACAATCGCTCTGAATGCTAATGTGTGTCCATGGAATACTAAAACACAATAGGCGCGGTGCAGCTAACGCCCAACGTGGATGAAACGGACAACAGCAGCGGCTAGAGCGTTCTCCTTCCTCGGTGAACACTGCTGCAAGACATTATGCTTGATGATTCACCAAACACCATCGTTGGGGGCCAAGTTTTCCGGCGCCAGCAAGTTGTTCATCCACCAACTAACTTTGATGAGTCTTTCTTCAACACTTCGTAGAGCAGCCGCGCAAGGCCTTTCCTTCGCGTTAGGGTAGCGATCCTTCCTAGATGATATCGCTATTCATTGTTACTTTTTACTTCAATGAGTAGTGTAGTGTCTCTCCGAAAATAAAGTCAGCTGCCTTGGCATTAGGCATTAGTACTGCCTAGGCCTAGCACCTGGACTTGGAAAAAAATTGATTTTGCAAGTCTCCAATCATGTTTGCATGTACGCGCTATCCAGCCATGTGGCGTGAACAGATTCTGGATTGCCTGACGTGAAAGGTAGCGCGCGCGGGCCCGCGAGAGTCGTACGCGCGCTCGCGGACGTGTCTGACACGTGAAACGAAAAGATTTTTTTGGCGGGTAGTCGGCAAAAATTAAGTGACGGTCCCTTTAGTCCTTCGCGTAAGAGACGCCATGTTCGGCTTGTTTCTATGGAGATTGTGGCCGCTTTGGCTATGCGCGCTGAACGGCTGACCCCAGTGTGAGCGTGATCGTGACGCACGCCTCCCTGCTTTTTGTCTTTTATTTTTTTTGTCGTCTTGTTCATGCTCGACCTTGCATTTCATGGTTTTGGCCACCAACCTTCGCTATCCTGTCAGTAGTGCGGGATTTTGAAGGCTTTGCCTATCATACGGAGTGCCATTAGGTGCCACGAACGATTTCACTTTTCAGCTTTGTTTAGATCTGTTGCTCGAGTTGATTAGAAAACTAGGCTCAATCTTCTAAATTTATCATTGCCACAATGTCGTCTCCCCCACCTTTCCCCTCTGACGATGAGAAGGATGTACAAGCTGAGAAAGCTGAAGAGCCGGAGGAGCTCTTCTCTATACCCGCAGAGGCCGTTGATGAGCCACCAGCAAAGGATATGCAGAACATTGATTTGAATGCTGGCGGCGAGAAAGCCCAGGAGACCACTTCTGCAGCCGCCCCAGCAGCGGACGATGACGACGACGGCGATTTGTTTGCTGACGCCTCTCCTCCGGCAGAAAAAGCTGCTGAGGTGGAGAAGCCCGAGCCTGTGTCTCCCTCTTCCACGGCCACCGCTCCAGACGAGGCCGAGGAAACACTGCAAGCGTCTGTACCGGACCCTGCTGACGCCGATGCCCAACCTGCCGCAGCCACAGCCGCAGATGTAATTTGCAATCCTTGATTTGGACTGCTGAAATAATTGTCTCGAGTACTCAATATATTTTGGTCTGATGATTGTTTTTATTTTGTTTGTCGGATTGTGCTTTATGTATTTGCTGCGTAGGCTGAGGCGGAGGAGGAGACGGACAGCTTCTCTATCAACATCAATGTGTCTGATCCGGAGAAAATTGGTAAGTCTCCAGAATTGAAATTCCTCAAGTCCCCCGCAAAGAAAAGCCTACCCTGGTTGAAGTTTGTTTATGTGGCTGGAAAGTGTGGGTATTTCAAATTCTCGTTCCAGTTTTATGCAGTTTGACACGTAGAAGTATTTGAGCAGTGCAATGCAATGTAATTGGTCTCTTTATAGTCTGTGTCTGGCATTTACGTCTGGAGCAGAGCGATCGATTGACCATGTGCCGCGAGTTTGAAACTCAGAATTGTGCCGTGCGGACGTGCATGCCCCTCTCCCATCCGCATCTCGGACGTGCCTGCTTGCTTGCACGAGTGTGCCTTTCTGTGCTGTCGGGGACCGGCGTACTGTTCATGCAGCAAGTTGGCTGAGTCGTTGACCGAGCGGCCACACGCGAGTGGGTTTTAGGTCGGGAAGGGTTATCGTCAGAGAGGTTCCGCACTACGTAAAGTTGAGCAACTTCACGTAAGTGGGTGGGAAAACCCCATGAATTCGCGAGTTTGCACTCTACTTATGGAAACTTGTCTATGTAGAGTACGTAGATAGGGCACTGATAACGTATGTGCGGCTCTGATCACGTAGGTGCTTCGTAAGTGGATTGGAGTACAAATTTATGACTCTCCCCAGGTCGACCCGGTCGTACACTGCCGCGTTCCGAGTTGCCAAGGGCAGCTACAGTGTACGTGATTCAAAAAGTCCGTACGGCGGAACACAGATCCGCACGCAGTCTGTCCCTCCAGGAACTTGCGATTCCGCGGCCGCGTTGTTTTCCGCGATTTGAACAAAAGTCCGTGATATCCGCGATATTTGAAAAATCATCCGCGTTATTGTAGAAAACTGTCCTTGATACTTGAAAAGCACCGCGATAATCGAGTCTTTCTTCGATGTTTAGTTCTTGAAGCTCGTCAGTAGTTTACTTGTGAAATCGACACCAGAATGGAGAGGTTTCTGGGCAAATCAGCGCCTGACAAGTCACAAAATAAGGCTCGCGTCGAGTGTTGTTCGAGGATGGAGGAAAGCTGTCTTGCAAGCTCCTGTCAGGCAGTCGAACACAGTCAGCGCAGCACACGTAATTCGTTCTGTTTTGTCATGCATGATTTATGCTGTAGGTCTACGACTCGTACATCGTACACCACTACAGTACAGTATAGTACAAGTACCAAATCGGTCGCAATTTCACCACAATAATCCCGCAATATTTGACAAAATCCGCAATATTCCCCACAATTTGTGGCATTTTACCTCGCAACTTTTTCCGCGATATTTCCGAAATGTCTCCGTAAGTTTCTGGAGGGACAGCGCAGTGTACGTAAAGCCTAGTTCACATTCGACGCAACGCCGACGGTACGGGACGTAAGGGCTTGTCGGGAGGGCTGGGGTGAGCTGTAAAATCCTGTACGATCCGTACGACACGACATGCAGCAGTCCTTGCGACATTCAACGTCGAACGGTGCGAGTCATAAGACACGGTCCGTGACGGGGAGACTTTCGGACCTAATTTCTCGTTTTTCGAGACTTCTTTTCAATTATTTCTCCTTGAAAGAAGCGGAATCAAGTTCACAATACCAGTTTTTCATGAAGATCAAAAAATTAGCCCTGAAAGTTGTGGCATTCAAATAATAGCCCCAGGAAATGATAGAATAGTTCGTCTGTCACGCTTCTGAACTATCCCTAAATACAATAAGGGACATGAGATCTTATGTTGCTAAAATTCAACTCAAGTCGTGCTTGCCATTCTGTGAGTTATCATGGGAAGCGCAGTGTTCGAAATGCTAAAAATATCCAAGTACGAATCGGGAGTAGTCGGCGCACGACGCCGTCTCCTGTTCACACTCGAATTGCAGCCGTTTTGTACGCTTGTGTCCCCGTCTACGCCCGTCTACGGTATGACAAGTAAATTGGATCGATCCAACTCTTCCCGTCGCTTCCCGATCTGTACGGTAGTACGTTTGCGTTCCCGTTCCTGGTGTTCACATTGGACGGCGTCAGACCGTCCCGTCGCTTCCCGTCGATCCTTACGTCGCGTCGCGTCGCGCCCCGTCGAATGTGAACTAGGCTTAAGACCTTCCGTAGATCAGCTACCTTTTTTTTCTAACGTAATTGCGTTATGTGGAACCTCTCTGTTATTAGCTTTCTTGTCACCGATCTGCTTGTGTTCATGCCGTGTGTGTTGTTGTTGTGCAGGCGATGGTATGGGTGCTTACATGACCTACCAAGTCTCCACCAAGGTAAGATGCTCAGGCAGTGTGTTATAGTAGACTCTCTGTTCAGCTACTGTACGTCAACAAATATTCGGCGCGTATTTATTTTTCGGCTATTTTCGGCCTTGACATATTTGGCCGAAATTTTGTTTTGCACGGCTCAGTGTGACCGTGTATGCAGGCGGCAGCAGTACAGGCCGAACATTTAATCCGGCCGGAATGTGTTTTAGCGCTGGGAGGTCGAAATTTGAATGGGCCGAAATTTTGTAGACTAACGGCAATGATTGTCCGGCTGTATGCACATGTGCACGAGCATGCATACAAGCTTTCAAGTTAGGCTATGGATACCTTCTGTGGGTAGTGTTGCTTTCCTCGCTTCTGCTCCCCCTTGCGTTTGGAAGAGGCCTTTGCCGTTTTTCTCACGACGCTGACTATGCAGTGGAAAGCTCCTCTGTTTGTAGAATGCTGCTCCTTGTATACTGGCAGAACGTGAAAGAAGCAGATTTACATTCCGTTGACACTCACACGCAACCATAGTTTTACAGAATAAACCAACAGATTCCAACAGTAACCAACCTGCGTTTTGCAGTGGTGCGTGCACATTATTTCATCAGCATTGACTTTTCTCATCTTGTGTTTCTCTCTCCTGTTTCTCTTTAGACCAATCTTCCTCACTTCAAATCGTCGTCCACGACCGTTCGCAGGCGATTCAGCGACTTCTTATCATTGCAGTCACGTCTGCAGGAAGCTCACCTGAAGCTGGGCCGTATCATTCCGTCCGCTCCAGAGAAGAGCGTTGTCGGTAAGTGTTAGGTTTGCCGCGCAATGGATACCGTTTGTTTAGCAAACTACGGTGTGTGTCTGTCTCTTATGCTTGTATGCTTTACGGATCTCTTTATGATAGAACTGTTCTAGCCTGTTGCTGTTCTTATTTCGTAGCAGTGTTCTGTCTACCCCCCCCCCCCCCCCCTCTCTCTCTCTCTCTCTCTCTCTCTCTCTCTCTCTCTCTCTCTTCCCTCTCCACTGATGTGCAGCAGAATGTTATAGAGGGTCGAGGTCTCTAATTGCTGTGTGTTGGTGGCTCCCCTGCTGCTTGTTGTGCACACACATTTGTAGGTATGGCAAAGACGAAGTTCTCCAAGGAGGAACAGGCCAAGGGCGGTGCGTCACAGGACTTCATTGAACGGCGGAGAGCTGCACTGGAGCGATACCTGAACCGCACGGCAACGCACCCCGTACTACGCAAGGACGACATCTTCGTGGACTTCCTGCAGTCCCAGGACGAGGTGATGATTGCTTGGTAGCTGTTTGGCGTGTGTGTGTGTGTGTGTGTGCGCATGTGTGCACGCGTGTGTCTGTCTGTCTGCACGTCTTTCTTCTCTTTCTCATTCTTCTAGCTCTTCTTTCATTCTCCTGGATGGCTACCACCAGCCAGTGCATGTCGGAGTATGTGGTGTGGTGTGTGTATGTAAAAAGAAAATGAAAAATAGAGATTCACTGGCCAGAAAAAGCCACTGCAATCAGCTGTGTGGTGTAGACCAGGCTCAAATTAGTGGCGGTCAATTCATCGGCCTTGCAAGATGTTGAATTGTGTAATCCGAGCACAAGCTGCTATGTCTAACATAGCTTGTTCGCAATATTCGCTTCAGCAATGGGCAAGTGTGAGTGTATGTGTGTGTATGTGTGTGGGTGGGTGGGTGGGTGCGTGTGTGTGTGGTACATGGTGTGTGGGTGTGTATGTGTCTTTTTATGTCTTGAATTCACCTTGCGAGAGCTTGGCTAGGAATCGTTTTCTGTGGCCCAGTTTTGTACATCTGGCGATAGTATGCCATTGTCCTTGCAAAAGGCCTTTGAGGACCAACTGCGTGTACGCGCGCGCGCGTGCGTGTGTGTGTGCATGTTCATGTTCACTCTTGCCAATCAATTCTAAGCATTTGTTGTATTTGTTATTTTCTGGTCTTGTTTTTTTGTAGCTTCCCAAGGCGGCAGACACATCGGCTCTGAGTGGAGCTGGCATGATGAGACTATTCAAGGGCGTGGGCGACGCTTTCGTCAAGATGACCTCCAAAAAGACGGAGACGGATAGGGTAAGACAATGGCCACGGTGATCCATGCATTGTGACATGCGTGGGCTTGAGGTACTGAGGTAGTAGTACCTCGTTGCGCATAAGCTAGTGTTTACTGGTCCCCATCGAAACAAATCCTAGCCTGGGTGGTTTTCTGTTTGAGATACAGTGCTGGCAACTGAAATCCGACCCCTTAGCGGTGCGTCCACATTCTAGCGGTCTCTGTTTTGTAGTTTTACCATCCCGTGTTGGGTCTTTGCGATGTGAGCGCACCGCTCAGGGGGTCGGATTTCAGTTGCCAGCACTGTAGTAGCGTCATGGTGAAGGTGGGTTGTTGGCACGCCAGCCTAGTTTTCGTGTTCCTATTAATTATACATAAAATTGCCTCTTTTTTATTTGTTCTTGAGTGGATGTGTCGTCACCACGTTAGCTAGGATAGGAGTAGTAGTAGGCCTGGCTTGCAAACTTGTGTGACCATGGGGTTAACATGTGGCGACTGATATTCCTGCTTTGTACTGAGTGCCTGTGACTACATGTAGGGCTGAAGCCATCAGCGGAGTGCTCATAGTTGGTTGTCGAAGCGAAAGAAAGTGATCGACGTACTAGCATTTCAAAATCGACTGCACAACTCTGTTGGTGGTGATGGCATCAGCCATGAAAATGCTCAGTTTTGACTAAGATCGTAGGCAAATGGCTCTGCTGCTGCTCTTCCCAGGCATGCACTGCCCAGCTGGGCGTCAGTACTAGCTGGAACAGACTAACCTGCTAATGGCAACTTAGTGTCAAGTTCGACAAGAAGCGTGTGTTCCTCGTTGGAACAACCAACTTCATGGCAACTTAGATGAACGAAAAAATGAGATCTAAAGTTGCCAAGAGACGCTGCAGTGTGCTACTTGTAAATTTTCTGTATCGAGCACAGAGGTGCGAGAAAGTGAATTTCCTGAATTCGCGTGACTCGATTGACTTGTGAGCGGACTAACCGTTAGACCCTGATACTCGTTTCACCCCTACTTGTGATGTGTGCCATGGCTTTGCAGGTCGGCGGTACGTTGCTTGGGAAGTTGTCGGCCAGTTTTGAGTTCAGTATTATACGTCTTGTATTTTTGCTTATGCTTGGTGAAACGTTGTGTCTTCTGGTTTGTTGGCGTGAAGCAATCCTTGTTGTTTCCCCCTATGTGCTTTGTTGATGTTCAGTGGTTCGAGGAGAAGGTTGCCCAGTACATTGCGCTGGAGGAGACGTTGAAGAAGCTCCACATATCCATCGAGTCCCTCGTTGTCCACCGACGAGGTAAGGACCATCTGGGGTGTGTGTGTGTGTACAGTCGACTCCTGATATAACGAACACCGTTGTGCAAGAGAATCATTTCTTTGTTGTCGAAGTTCGTTATACCGAAAGTCAACACATATTCTGCACATATTTATTTTCGGCTATCTTCGGCCTGATCATATTTGGCCGGGAATGTGTTGCATCCAAAATTTTGTTTTGCAAAGTTCAGCGTGACAGTAGGGAGGTTGTCCCACGTAACGAATACGGGAACGTGGGTGATACACGTAAAGTTCCTGGAATGGACCCATGTTTGCAATGTTGTGTTTAGTCACACGGAACAAACAAAAGCATGAAGCGAAAGGCCCAAACCTGGTCAAAGAAGAAGCTTAGACGCTCATCGAATATTTTGATTTCGTGCTTCGGAAACTTCTTTAGCTGAGCACCCTCACAGCTCGCACAATGCGCTCCATTCTGATTTTCACCCACGTTCTGGCGGAACGTGGGTGAGCCTCCACACACGGTATGTCGTGAATCAGAAAACGTCTGTACGTGGGTCACTGAGTATCACGTGGTACACAGACACGTAAAGTACCCACGGATTACGTGGGACTAAACCTCGCTATTGTATACAGGCAGCAACAGTACAGGCCGGAAATGTGTTTTAGCCCTGGGAGGCCGAAATTTGAATGGGCCGATAATTTGTCGACTTGCTGTAACAGAAATGCAGTCAAACTATACAAGTAGCAAAGCCATGACTGACATGTGCCCCATGACAGTATGACTGCACTTGGTTTACATGCGGCCCAGCACGATTTGGTTCGTTATAAACGAAAACTGTTCGCTGTAAAGAGTCAATTTTGTGTGGGTTCAAACAGGGAAATGGACAATGGTTCGCTATATGCGAGTTTGTTATAAGTGGAGTCGACTGTATGTGTGTGTGTGGGGGGGGGGGGGGGGGGGGGGGGGAGGGGGGATTTAGCACTGAGCCCAAGGTGATCCCATCTTGGAACCCTGGGCTTGAGCAGTGTGTACAGTTCCATTCATTTTGGGAACTTTTTTGTGAAGCGAAGCCCGTTCCTGTACGGTATTTTCCAAACAATTAATGATGATGAATACAAACGGCTGTGAATGTTCTTGCAACACCGTAAGCTATCACTTGGCTTGAGCCAGACATGGCCGGGGTGTTATTACAGGCAACATACCGGGAGATGTCAGTAGTTTCTGGTGACTGATATAAGATACGTACAAGTTGAAGTAATCGGGCGGTGGATTTTCCGCCTAGTATATTGGGCTGACGAGGCCACTTGGAAAGGTCTTCTGGGCCCAAGTGATGCTTCTGCTCAGCACTGGATCAATATGCCGGCCGTTGCAGTAATGAATGTGCGATCATGGCCCGCACTGCTCCCAACCCTAGCACATACACCACCAGCGTGTGCAGGTCTGCGCATGGCTGCTAGTTCTGGACGGTGTACTGTCTTTTCACGAATTTTCGGCGTACTTTAATTTTCGGTACTTTCGGTGCATCTGTTTCATACCTAAAATTTCAATACACCGAACAAACACTAACACGCATAACCCGATAGGGAACTGCTTCTCTGTACCTAAAATTTCTGTTCACCTAACCTGGCCTTTTGCCCTCATACCGAAAATATTGAGCACCGAAAATGTCTGAAATTGGAGTATTGGGTTGTTTTGGTCATCTTTGACGGGATGGTGCAGTCAGTCCTGATGTCACAAGTTACACCAATCCAGCACAATGCAGTAATCGCAGAGCACAGCTTCCATGTCCCATCAAAAACAATGTAAAATACGCTTTCCCAAATGTGTACGGAGTCGCACACTGTGCCTTATGTGCTCGTGCTCTTATGAATGCCTGTGTGTGTGTGTGTGTGTGTGCGTGCATGCATTGGTATTGTGTGCTGCAGACCTCTGCTCATCCACTGCCACATTTGCCAAGTCTTCGGCAATCCTGGGCAACACTGAGGAGCACACGTCACTCTCGCGTGTTCTCTCACAGCTAGCTGACGTAGAAGAGAAGATCGAGCAGGTGCATCTGCAGCAGGTAAGGTGCTCTGTCTCTCTCTCTCTGTCTGTCTCTCTATCTATCTATCTATCTACCTCTTTCTCTATCTCTATCTCTGTTTGTGTGTGTGTGTGTCTCTTCTGGTACATATCAACTCGCTGTGCTCATCTCCCCTCCCTTGTCGGTGTCATTCAAACCCTTTCTCGACTCAGTGAGAAGATGCTGCTCTATAATGCTTACAATAGTGTGTGTGCGTCGATGTCTGTTCCAACAGGTGGAGAATGACTTCTTCATTTTTGGCGAGCTTATCAAGGACTACATTGGACTAATGGGTCCATTGAAGGTGCGTGTGTGTTGTGTGCATACCTGTGGGTGTGTATTGTGTGTGTTGTACTTGTGGGAATCCAGTGCATTTGCAGATTTGCGTGCTTCTCTTGCGACGGGCGTATACATGGTACATGGCACATACATGGTAGACTCAGGTGCTCGAAGTCCGGACATGGTATCCTAAGTCCGTACACCCATAATTTCATGTTCTGTTATTGTATTCGACTCCAATATTTTTTCGAGGGGACGCTGTGAATAAATAAACTGTGAATAAATAAGAATAAAAGTAATTCTTGTTGATTACACCGCGCCTACCACTCGGCTACCCATTACATTAACCTGGTGTGCTTCTACTTTATGATTTGTTATCAGTTCATTTCTTCTGTCTACTCCAAACGTTATCATTTCCGATATAATTTGCCATCTTCCAGTTGACGCTGTGTTCGTAACTCTTCACTAATTTTTTGAAAACCACGAGGGCGTGATAATCTGTAGGAAGGGAGGGTGTAGTATCCCTGCCCGACCAATACGGAAGCAGTACGGAACTAATACGGAGCTTGCCTGATGTATATTTAGTGTATCTCCGTATGTAAGCGTACGGCGTCTGCTGCATAAAAGCGGCTGCGCATTTCTGTTTTGAGGAAGAGAAGAAGAGAAGATTAGATAGCAACGAAAGCTAACTCGAAGATGAGATTGTGATAATAACGAGCTATTCAACCTCCAGGTTTGCACCGGAGAGAAAGTTATCTTGCCGCTTCTTCTTTGACTAACGATTATATCTCAGGTGTGTACCTGAACGTAGAATAAAAGTAATTATTGTTGATTTCACCGCGCCTACCACTCGGCTACCCATTACAGTATGTTCTCCTGGCACACCAATTTTCAGGGATCTACGATAAGCAGAAGTCCCATACCACGCGAGTGGGTTTCCGAGTGTCCATACGAAATACAAATTGGGCTACATTTCATGCAAAAATCAACTTTGCCAAGACCGATTTCGAACGGACACAGCGTCGAACAGACCTTCACTCAATCATCAAGAGCCAGCTTAGAGCTGAGAATGGCCAGGGGAGAAGAATTTACAGAGAACCACCAATCCTTGCTGAAAGGTTGACACTCCTGGCATCTCCACCACTGTTTTCCCGCGGTTTTCCCAGCGCAGATGTTTCTTCTCTGAGCCGACTAAAAACAGCTTGCCTTTCGGCAACAAACCACGCTTTTGCAAGGAATACTGGTGGAGGCACATGCCAAACATATCGCTTCGGTACTTTCGTCGTAACCGAGGGATATCAAGTTACCCATTAGCAGAAACGTGTGTGTATTTCGAGTCACCTCTGAGCTGTACGGACTTAGATCACCCTCTGCGACGCCAAAATTTGATATGAAAAATTAGCGAACTCCAGGGAAACAGATCGGATCGAAAGATGGCCTGGTTCAATCGAGCCTGGCCTCAAAACAAACTTGGACAAGATTCCATCCACGAGCAGGATTCTGGCAAGTGATCATTGCTAGTGTGAGTTTCAGCTCGGCAAACACACACTGTAAAAGTGTCCGGACTTCGAGCACCTGGGTGTGCATGGTACTTGTGGGAATAAGCATGGGCCTTTGTTGACATCGGTGGAACAAAGTTGTGAATAGAAATAGCCCTGTGCTCTAGGTGTCTACCCCCTGTGGTGATGGACATCGCAAGGATGCGGGTGTGAATATCACGTCCGGCAGATTACATGTATTTCAGATCAACAGCTGGCATAGTGCACAGGTCTATACTGGGCTGGACTGGACTGGTGCCCATTCTGGCTGTGTAAGCTGGAATCACAGCGGCGCGTATCTACCAGATCCTAAACCCGTTGTGCGGTGCTGTATGCACGTGTGCGTGTGTATGCATATCCTCAGTTGTGTGTGTGTGTGTGTGTGTGTGTGTGTGTGTGTGTGTGTGTGTGTGTGTGTGTGTGTGTGTGTGTGTGTGTGTGTGTGTGTGTGTGTGTGTGTTATACATTGAACCTTGCGAATACCGACCCTCGCTTGTGCACGAGTATGAGTAGGGTGGTGTTATTCGTGAGGTGGGAACTAGGCAGGCATGAGCACACCCATTGTGATCAGAAAGTGAACTACAATCCTACAATTGTAGCGTTGGTGATGTTGATGTGTGTACTCGGCTTGCCTCCCTTCCAACGTACTGATTGGGCACTATTTTCTCTCTTTGTCTGTGTTCAGGCATGCTTTTCTCAGCGTGAAAAGGCTTACCAGGCTTGGCAAATAGCACAGACTAATCTCATCAAGAAGCGCGAGCAGGAAGGCAAGCTGCAGGCAGCCGGTAACACTGAGAAGGTCAAGCTCTGTCAGGAGGAGATTGTACAGGTATGGTGCGCTTCTTGTAGTGCTGTGTATAAACTCCTCTGCGTGGTCCACATGGTTATGTGTCCCCGTGTGTGTGTGTGTGTGTGCGCGCGTATGTGTGTGTGTGACCTAGCGCGCACGCACTAGTGCTACAAGTTTGCCTTGGGACCCCATATTTCATTTCAGTGCTGTGTATTAGCCGTCCGTATTTATGTTCACAACCTGTTTGCTCGTGTTGTTCGTGCACGCTGTCTCGTGTGTGTGTCACTGTGTGTCAGATGGAGACACGCGTCGAGAAGGGAGAGGAGGAATTCAACAACATCTCCAAGGTGATGCGCGCGGAAATCGAGCGGTTCGAGGTAAGACCCAGTTGGGCTTCTGTCATACGCATTCGAGGTGTGTTGGATAATTCCTGAACGGTTCCAGGAATTATCCACCACTGGTCCCTTTATAACCCAGCATCATTTGTGCTACGGAAATTCTGCTGCAATAGGGAGGGTGCTGGATTACAGAATCTGATTTTCTGCTGGAATGCACATGGAAAGGACATTGCTTTGGTTGCTGAAAATTATGCTGATTTATGAAGTGCTGGTTTATGAAGTGCTGGGTTAGAGGGATGACTGTACATGTATGTGTGTACTACTTGTTGAACACTGAAGTTCTGTTTTGAATGCCCTTGCTGACACTGTGTGCAGTTGTTGAACACTGAAGTTCTGTTTTGAATGCCCTTGCTGACACTGTGTGCAGGGCCAGAGAAAGAAGGACTTCAAGGCCAGTATCCTACGCTACATGGAGAAGATGATGCGTAACCAAGAGCAGGTGAGTTTGTACTGTACTTTGACTACTGCAACCGTGTAGGCTGTGTACACGCAATGTCTGGCAATACGGTCGTAATATGTACTCATGCACTTTTGCATTAGTTTGAGGGAGTTTCAAACTGGAAAAGTCTGGAGAAGAAAATGACTCGCAGCAGGATCCCTTGCTCATGGCCAGCCATGCTTTACCACTAAGCTATGGTGTAGTCGTCGTCTAAGCAGCATCTGTTCAACATCCTCTTCAGACTTCGCAACTCACGCTTCCTGTGAATTCGCACAGGCGGGTGGGACGTAGCCCTCACGGTACCCACACACTTTACGTACAAGGGGAGGGGAATCGGAAAAAAAATGGGAAGAGTCCGAAGAAAAAATTGACTCTCCCCACCAGGACTCGAATCAGTTGCTTGTTGCCAGCCATGCTCTATCACTGAGCTATGGTGTAGGACCGTTGCTTATAGCCAGCCATGCTCTATCACTGAGCTATGGTGTAGGACCGTTGCTTATGGCCAGCCATGCTCTATCACTGAGCTATGGTGTAGGACTGTTGCTTATGGCCAGCCATGCTCTATCACTGAGCTATGGTGTAGGACCGTTGCTTATAGCCAGCCATGCTCTATCACTGAGCTATGGTGTAGGACCGTTGCTTGTGGCCAGCCATGCTCTATCACTGAGCTATGGTGTAGGACCGTTGCTTATAGCCAGCCATGCTCTATCACTGAACTATGGTGTAGGACCGTTGCTTATGGCCAGCCATGCTCTACCACTGAGCTATGGTGTAGGACCGTTGCTTATGGCCAGCCATGCTCTATCACTGAGCTATGGTGTAGGACCGTTGCTTATAGCCAGCCATGCTCTACCACTGAGCTATGGTGTAGGACCGTTGCTTATAGCCAGCCATGCTCTATCACTGAGCTATGGTTTGGGACCCTTGCTTGTGGCCAGCCATTCTCTATCACTGAGCTATGGTGTAGGTATCACACACTTCTTGCTCACCATCACCTGTACAGTGAAACTTCAGTATAACATAACTCCAGGGGATGTACACATCAGTGCTTCATAACGTTAGCCGAGGTACTCTACATCCCAGGTGAAATCACTGGAATGGGTAGCTGGTGTGTTCCCAGTAGAAATACTATAATTATATTCGATGCAAAGAGACCGGTTTTTTGTGTCCAGGGTACTTATACTGAAGTTTCACTGTAAAATTTCCAACAGCCCAAACAGGACCAGGTGTAGCATATTTTCCTGTGCTTGTGTGAGTGCTGCTGTTTTCTACCCCGAAACTATGTGTACTAAACTGGTTTCATTGTGCGTGTGGTGTGGGTATGCGTGCGTGTGTGTGTGTGTGTGTGTGTGTGTGTGTGGACCTTTTGTGCCGCGTGCAGCTGATCAAGTACTGGGAAGCTTTCTTACCGGAGGCTAAGTCCATTGCATAGTTCCATCAACCGGTGCTGCAGCTCGCTCATGTTCTGCTAGTCTGACATTCGGTGGGTGGGTGCCCGCACGCACGCACGCCCACCAGGGACTTGTGGTGCTGACTAAATGCTATTTTTGCCTCGTTTGCTAGGAGAAAGATATTATGAAGAAATTTGTCAATTAGCTTGTGTGCTATCCATTCAACACTACTAGCTTCCAATGTCATTTCCAACAGTCTCCCTGTTGGCCTTGTTTTTACCAAATTCCTCAGTGGATGCTGAATGCTAAACTTGTTCCATTGTGTTTTAAATACTGAACTGCAATGGTCGTCTCTTTGTTTTGTTTTCCGGTCCAGTCTTTGTCGGATTGTTGTTTTGTTGCTGGATCAATTATCCGTTGCGTGCATCCCATCTTCTACTTGTTTTGCGTTGTTGTTGTTGTTTGTCCCCTGCCGGCACAAGGCGATGCGGCTGTGTTTCTGATTTTTCTCGTTTGTTTTAGTCCGTGGGCTCCCCTGCGCCCTCTAACCCTGACCCGTGCTGACGCGACCCACTCTGTACCCCCATTGCTCTCTCTCTCTCTCTCTCTCTCTCTCTCTCTCTCTCTCTCTCTCTCTCTCGTAGACACGCGCTTAAATTGCATTAATTTCAGTGTGTTTTTTCTCTCTCAATTCTCAAGACCATCCCTACGTTCCCCTGGCTGGGAATTCCTTGCCCACAAATCCAGTATCAGCGAATGTACTATTTTTTTATGATTGTGTGTATGTTTTGCTCAATATGTTGCAATGTAATCTTACTCCTGGAATGAAGCACTTCTCCATTTGTAGGTAATTGTTTCGCTTCGTTAATGCAATGTAACTGCTGACCCCGTTGTTGTTGTTGGTGCTGGTGGTGGTGGTGCCGTCCTTGCCGTTGTTTTCCCTCATTGCTTTGTGTTCAGTATGAACCCGATCACAGACAGTCCAGGATCTTGCCGGCCTGAGGCACATACACGAGTAGGTCCTCTTTGTGGTGGTCGCAATGGTTTCCGATTGTGATTTTGCCTCAGACCCTTGGGTGGTGTGTGGTCGCCCCAGTACCATCCATCGTTTTCCCGTGTGTTCGGGAAATCCTATTGCTGGGTGATGGTGTGTGTGGGGGGGGGGGGGGGGGGAGGGCATGTTGGGTGTGTGTGTGTGTGCCTCACAGCAAACAAGTAGCGATTCTACGGGCAGAAAAAGTGAATTCTGTGTGCTGTAACTACTTGAAGCTACGCATGGTTTGGCGGTGTGCCCCAGTGATGCATTGTTCTATGGGCGAAGCAGCAGCAACTCTCATCACCTGTGCCATAAACCCCTAGATTATTATGGCCTAGAATAATGGTGTTCAGCTTTACCACCGTGTGAGTTAGTAATGTAATGGTCACCCACTGGTAGCTGCATTGTAGCCAAAGCCTAGGGCCGGGGAGTCGTACGCAGAAAATGGTTTGGGTACGACTCCCTGATGGCAGCTGTATAGACGGTGTTTACACAACGACACGTGTGTGTTCTTGTTTGCTTTTTCCAGTCTAAAAAAATCCACGTATCTCCAGACACTGAAGTGAATAAAGGCCGGAGTGTGGTGGTGGTGGTGGTGCTGGTGGTGGTGTGTGTGTGTGTGTGTGTGTGTGTGTGTGTGTGTGTGTGTGTGTGTGTGTGTGTGTGTGTGTGTGTGTGTGTGTGTTTCTCTTGTGTGTCCCGTGATTATGGTACAGTAGTACGTGCAGTCGATTTCTAATCGAGAATTTGGGGGTTCGATTCCCGACAATTATGGTCACGCAAAGAGTACATAACCCGTTATGTACTCTTTGCGTGACCATCTTTCCTTCTCCTGCGTGGTTACCAACTGCCAGTGCATGCTGGAGTATAATTGTGTGGTGTGTGTGTGTGTGCGGGAAAAGAAAAAATAATTAAAAAGACCAAAATGTAGGGATTCACTGGCCATAAAAAGGTTAAATAGCTGTGTATTGTAGACCAGACTGAATAGTGGCGGTCAATTCTTCAGCCTTGCGAGCTGTTGAATGATGCAATCCCAGCACAAGTTGCTATGGCTTGTGCTGTAGCATCAGATTCTCTATCATCGTCTCTGGCAAGAGGGGGGGGGGGGGGGGGGGGGGCTGCGTACAAGACCTATTGGTCGTGAATCAGCAGAGCAGAAGCTCAGAGAAGCTAAGGGTTCCTACATACAGTATCCAGTATACTCGTGGGTCCCATAGCAACAAAGATATCCTGACGATGGATAGCCTGTACGTAACTGTTACGTAATAATATAATAAATCCTGAGGCAACTACATTATTATAGATAATTACCGGTGTGTTGACCTGCACTTTCCCTAAAAAGGAGAATTTTATAAACAGCGTTTATGGGCTCAGAAGCCAATACAATTAAATACTGTTTATAAAATACTCCTTTTAGGGAAAAGTGCAGTGGTGTTTATTGAGTCGAGCAAATTTATTTGAATTTGATACTGTTGATGGTATGATCACTAATCAGTGTGGGTATTTAATATTTATGAAAGGCCAACATAATTATTGTATTGCTAAGATGTGCCTAACCGCTTGATTGACTTGTAAGATGACCTTCATCAGTACAATCATGTAGATGTCTAGCTAAAGCACATGCAGAGTGAGGACCCTGAGCTGGCCGCTCTCTTGCTGACTTTATTCCCAAAGCCATCGGCAAGTGTACACACACCCAAGAGTGTGCCGCTCTGATCTCCAAGCTATGGGTGCCCTGAGTGGCGCGATGCTAGCATCAGGTAGTGAGCTGACAATCCAGCCGCTTGGATTTGAATTGCGCAACTGATTAGCCTCAACAATTTCATGTGCAATATGGTAAATTCAGAGGCGATGCCAGTGCGTGACGCATCGCGTACAAAACCGTCTCCGAGGAAAGCGGATTTGGAAGCAGGAAACCATAGCAGATCAATAATGACGCAATGGACCACAATTCGTGGCTATGTAATGCAGGCAGTGCGGCTACGGGCCATATGCAGAGTTGCATACCCTTGGGGTTATGTACCCTTGCTATCGGGTGTGACAAAGATGTATGGCGTCACAAAGGCACACAGTATACACCAGGCGTAGCTAGGGTCCACAGAACCCCACCCCCTGCGGGTGTGGTGTGGTGTGGTGTGTGTGTGTGTGTGTGTGTGCATGTGTGTGTGTGTGCATCGTTGCTCCGCTTCTACCTCATGCCCAGCACCGACTACATCAGCTGCTGCTGCCGCCGTTGATACTACCGCTCGGAATTGCTGCAGTGCTCAGTGTGACATCTGCAAGCGGTATTTCCGCTCAACCCAGAGACGCGAACCGTCATCGCTGTTCAAGGCACTGCCACCGCACAACGGCTAGACAACGGGACAAGTTCCTGAATATGTGTATTTGCTCTCGCCGGTTCCGACTAGTCTCGCATCTGGAGCGTCATCAGGTGGCGTGCTCCTTCTCTCTCTCTCTGCTGCCACTCCGGGGCCCACGTGACCCTAGTGGTAGTGGCTCTACAGGACAGGGCATGTGTGTGTGTGTCGTCTGTGTGTGTGCATACGTGTGTGTGTGTGTGTGTGCATGTGTGTGTGTGTATGTGTGCACGTGTGTACACGAGGCGCGTGCGGGCATTGCTTGCTTGCCGCTCGACCGAATCACCACAAGAACTGCGAAGTGCGCAGGCCACACATCGGCATCAACTCAGCTGGCCTTGCCGACTCCCCTACCCGGACTCCTCTACGCGGACGCGGACACTGTATGCCCAAAGTATATGGCCAGAGCATATGCATAGTGTATGCCGTGAGTGTATGTCGTGAGTCAGTGAGTGTATGAAGTGAGTGTATGCCGTGAGTGTATGTCGTGAGTCAGTGAGTGTATGAAGTGAGTGTATGTCGTGAGTGTATGCCGTGAGTGTTTGCCGTGAATGTATGTCGTGAGTCAGTGAGTGTATGGCTATGAGTGTATGGCCACAGTGTGTGCTGTGAGTGTACCGGTATGCCTAGAGTGCATGCCGTGAGTGTACCGGTGTGCCTAGAGTGCATGCCGTCAGTGTCTGCCTAGTGTGCATGCCGTCAGTGTATGCCTAGAGTGTATGCCCTGCACACTGTAGATTGACGTCAAGTCCATGTATAATAGTAGGCCCGCTGTTTTTTTCTTCATTACATTGAATCATAATATTAGAGAGGTTCCGGAGTACGATTTTTCGTGCCAAAATCCGTAGAGGCGCTACGGATTTTTTATACGTCGTTTTCGAGCAGTGAAATGTTCCGGAGTACGGAACTTATGTGTTTTCTACCATTGCCTAGGTTACGATCGCAAACACGTCACATTCCCGCGCTGTGCCTTTTTATTTTGAAAGTTTGTACCGAGATCAAAACTTCCCGCGGAAAATCGATGTTTCTTGTACCAAATTTGTACGCAAAAAATCTTTCTGCACCCGATGACGCAAAATCTCCATACGAAACATGGTTCGTATGAAAGCCAGTCCACACGCATTCTCCGTGCCGAAAAATCGTATGGAGCACGCCTCCAAAAAATCCGTAGAGCCCGTACGGATTTTGGCATGGAAAATCGTACCCCGGAACCTCTCTATTATTACGATTGTAGTGAGAAAAAAACAGCGGGTCTGAGCATCCCGAATAATACCCGTACCGTGGATCCCCCCCCCCCCCCCCTCCCCACGCCATGTCGCTTCCCAGCTGGGTTTTCGGCAGGGGACGGGAATTAGATCAAGGCTGTCAAGTGCAGTACAATGCACATCAACGCGGAAGCCACGGTTCAGACTCGATGTCCTGGATCGTTCACATTTCCATCCTGGACCGGCACGTATTGTGTACAGCAGTGCATGCGTCGGTTCAACATCGTATTTCGTTGTATACGCCTAAGTCGCTTCACAGGCAGAACATCGACGGAGGACGGCAATTAGAGAGGGGGCACGTCAACGGTACTTTACGGTACTATCAAACACACCATGTGAAGAATTCCATGTACAGCAGATGTCAGGGAGTGGTAAGTAACTGATTTACGTTCGTGCCTGAATATCCCTACACCCCCCCCCCCCCTCTCTCTCTCTGTTAAAAAAGCATTCTTCTATTTCCCCTGGTTCAATTCCCCTTTAGCAGCAATCATCACCGTGGAGTTGCAAAAGTAAAATTAAATATACCTTGCCATACCCCTGGCCAAATTCCCACCGTTCCAGGCACCAAAACATATTTCGGTTATGACATTTTCAAAATGGAAAGTAGTAAAGAGCAGAGATACTGAGCTGGACACATTGCACGTAAAGTCAACACAATAGACGTTTTCCATTTGACTTCAACGATCGTGAGTGGACAACCGTATATACAAATATGATAATACTGGCAAAAGAGTGCTAGATCTCCGACACTGGATACTATGGTCTACAGTCCGGCAAATGCCCTTTTGAAACAAATAAAGCAAGTGCCCTGCGGAGTGCTTTTGAAACAAATGAAGCAAGTGCCCTGCGGAGTGCTTTTGAAACAAATGAAGCAAGTGCCCTGCGGAGTGCTTTTGAAACAAATGAAGCAAGTGCCCTGCGGAGTGCTTTTGAAACAAATGAAGCAAGTGCCCTGCGGAGTGCTTTTGAAACAAATGAAGCAAGTGCCCTGCGGAGTGCTTTTGAAACAAATGAAGCAAGTGCCCTGCGGAGTGCTTTTGAAACAAATGAAGCAAGTGCCCTGCGGAGTGCTTTTGAAACAAATGAAGCAAGTGCCCTGCGGAGTGCTTTTGAAACAAATGAAGCAAGTGCCCTGCGGAGTGCTTTTGAAACAAATGAAGCAAGTGCCCTGCGGAGTGCTTTTGAAACAAATGAAGCAAGTGCCCTGCGGAGTGCTTTTGAAACAAA